TGTTTCATGTTTTCGACGACGAGAGAGGATATAATATATTGTTTGTAACAAATAATGACATGGTTTACGGTTGGGGATCTCTTGCTATGGGACATAATCTATACGTCAATGAAATCCAAGTGATCGACAGATTGTGTCACAAGAATATCACACAATTCTTCAATGGATTGGATTTTGTTTTAGCCCTCACTCATGATAATTGTCTCTATGGTTGGGGTCATAATAAAGAGGGACAGTTATTTACGGCACACAATATTTCGGATCACTTATATGTGGAACCGTTACTTTTTAATAACAAATTCATAGATAATAAGTCAATTAATCAAATAAGTTGTGGTTATTATCACACAATGATTCTCACGAGTGATGGCTGTGTCTACGGATGGGGTAATAATTGGTTCGGACAGTTAGGTTGTGGAACTGACAGTGATAAACAAAATGAGGGCACATTTCGAGTGAATTTCAATCCCATTCACGAAATTAAAAGCATTTATTGTTGTCTTTACTCTTCATTTGCCATCACATCTGAGGGACAGGTGTTTAGTTGGGGTCGAAATGATTTCTATAATTTGGGACACAATTCATCGGATATTATATGGAAACCACAACTCATTGCAAACATGACTGGTATTAAGACTATCTGTTCCGGTGGTTACTACACTTTATTTTTATCAAACGATGGATTCATTAAATTTTGCGGTCAATTTAGGAACAAAAACAACGAATATTTGTTACAAATGTCACCAAAAGTATTCAAAACTGATAAGAGGTTTACAGAAATGAATATAATTATCTCACTTAAGAATAACTCGTGTTGGACTACTGCAATAATGAATGGAAAAATATATGGTATTGATCATAAACCAAACGTTTTTATGATTGAAACAATTCATACAAATCTCTTCGATTGTTTCACAAATGAGTCTAAAATGACTCATAAAACTATTAATTTGTTTGATTATAAGGAATATAATTATAAGAATTGCGAAGAATTTATTGCAAAATGTTTGGATTATTTGGAAAAAGTATTTTCTTTTATAAAAGGGTTATCAAACAATGGTATGATTTGGGTTGAGGTGTCACTCATAGAGTACGTACAGTCATTCAGTCATTGATTTCCCGACTAAAATAGTTGTTATCCATAGTATTGTATTATTTTATTACAACATAACGGGCGCAGTTTAATATGATCAGCATCTCTATTGAGTAATAACTTAATTTACTGTATAATTAAAGCAAAATATGCAAGATTAATCTAAAAATATGCAAATTTCGTTGAAATAAGTTAAGAAATTTATTTGATTAACTAGTACACTTTACAATTGTCTCTTTTCGAACGCTAAACTCAACTCTCATTATAATTTGAATTTAAAGACGTTTCAAACAAATAAGCTTTATAAACTAATTATTTTAAATTTATTTATGCAAAGATGAATAATTAATTAAATATACTCATTAGTAAGCTTCTGAATTATCCCAACTTCTCTGAATACGTACTTTTGAATGACATTTTAACAAAACTGAATGAATGAATGCATTTATTTGATTTGTTTTATAGTTGTTACCGGAGTGAACCAATACAACCGTTGGTACGAAGAGTTGCATTCATTAGGTTCGGGAGCTTTTGGGGAAGTATTTGCTGTTATAAATAGATCTGATGGACGAGAATATGCGGTTAAGAAAATACGATATGAAAGTAATTTAATGATATTTAGATATATTTAGTATAACTATTGTAGCATTACAATGTATTTTATTGTATTTAAAATTAATGTTTGGAAAAATTTCAAATTATTAATAATTATCACAATTAATACATTTATAGGTGATAACAATTTACGGGAATGTATGCAAGAAATGGAAAAATTGATAAAAGTTAAGTCAGAATATTGTGTCCAATATATGGGTCAATGGTGGGATAACCAAATTTATTACATTGAAATGGAATTGTGTTCCAATAGTCTTAAGAATATTCTTCAACATAAACCACAAGTATTTGGTCGACAACCGGAAGAACCCATGAATTCAATCGAGTTTTACATTTCGTGTCATATAT